GTAGCTGCTTCATCAGTAATGAGAAGAAAAATTAATAACCTTAATTATAAAAGATAAAGGATAAAAGCATAAAACTGCAGTCTGAGGATTTTTGATTATCAACTATTGCTAATAACATTTTTAAACATAATCATAGTCAGTAAAAATAAATGCTAATAAATAAAAGGTTGATAAATTAGCACAAGCCACCTAATCTGATGTAAATGTAGGCCTTTCTCGAAGAGGCTTTGGGATTCTTAGACGCTGTGCTGTTTAGTTTTTATGGTAATTCAGCCTTTCTCTGTTAACCTGTAACCATAATGGGACTGAAATGCTGCACTGCATCACTACATCTTAAGTGAAGAAAGAATCTCGACCCTCCAGTTGTTAACTCATTACAACCTAAGGGTTTGCTTTGCAGTGTCTATGAAAACTTGTACCGATTTCTCAAGCTTTGAAGAAATAGTAAGATAATTCTAACAGAAAAAGAGGAAGCTACATTTTCCAATTTTTAAAACAGTGTCTTGCTGTGTGAAAGTATTCACACCCTGTAAACTATTTTTTTTTCAGATCACATTCACAAGCTTCAGTTTATTTTCTTTAATGTGATACACCAGCAGACAGTGGCACACATATGTAAAACCACATGCATGTAAATCAATTTGTTTTCTTTCTGTCTGTCATTGTACGCTTTTTCCTAAATGTCTTATTAAGGGAGTAACTATTGTTAAAGTCATGTGCACAAATGTTTCGAGGACTAAAATCACAAATCACATTTGGTGATTTTTGGAGAATAGGTATTTGACAACAGGAACTGTCAGGTTGTTAAAAAGGGAATCATGATTTTTACATCAGACCTAAGTTTCAGGTTATGCCATAACATACTAACAGTAAATAAAAATCCTGAAAATCTCTTGGGGCTTTTTTTCTTCTTTTCTGTCTTTTTCTTTTCTTTTTAACAGCCCAAGATAATTAGTGGTCCCCATTTTGCCACCCTTTACAAAACTTTCTGGAAACGTCCCTGGTACCAGATGACTTTCTTTCCATTAATGCATGTAGTTAAAATCCATCAACCACTAAATCATCTCTAATGTGCAATCAATAACAATATGTATTTTTAAACAGCAGGTTATCCATAGTAAATGTACAGTAAAATTCCGTTTAAAGTTAAGTAATGGTACTTTTACCATACAGACATTATATAATAGGAATTACATAGTAACTACCCGCACCAATGTAAGGTAAATAACGATATATAGAAAAATCTGTCCTCTGAGAGTTTAAGTATGTAAAGTAAATGGGATTGAACTGGTGGCCTCGGGCTTTTCTCTGCTATCACACCGTGCGCCGAATCAGGTTAAATAATCTTACAAAACATTAATCAGTCGTTGTTTACTTACTTCTGAGGGCGGATATGAGCATGTTTCCATCTTTTATCAAGTCTTTTATAAACCTGTTGGTTCTCTCCAGCTCAATTTCATGGCACTGCAGCCGCTCTCTGAACTCCGGACTATCCAGTAAAGAATCACTGAACTCCAACGTCGGGAGACCCATCGATAACTCAGCACAGGCGGCTAATAATTAAAGAACTGCAACAAGACGACTCAGTAATCTGAACCGTAGGGGGAAAAGCCTTTCACATAACGAGCTGTTTTATTATGCACGAAAATTCTTGGTCTAATGTTTCTTCCAGCTCCTTCTTTTCATGCCTTTCTCCCTTTTTCCCCCCTCGCAAGAACTTCCGGACACTGATACACAGCAGAGCCTGTGACACAGAGGGTTTGGCTAGCTTTCACAGCGAGCCTTGCCGAGCTGTTTCTTCTACTTTGTAAACGCACTGCTCAGAAATATACTTTCGTTATGAATTAATAAGTTATAAAAATGAAACAGAAATGACTAAGAGTCGGGGAAACAAAAAAAAATGCTTTTCTTAGGACGCATAAAAACTCCAGACGACCACTTGGAAGCTAACTTTTTTCTTTTCTTTTCTTTTTTCACTTACGGCTCCAATGGAAGGGTTGTTACTATGGGAACGGGAGACTCCTGCTGGCGTGGACAGAAATCAGGAGAAAAGTTTGCCAAGAAAAACTGAGTAGTCTTGTCTGTAGTCTGTAGGCAGAGATTCTCTGAAGCCTCCTGTGCCTTCTTGTTTGTTCTGGGATCTTGAACAATTTTTTTTAAAAAGCATATTAATATAATCCACTTTAGTTATTTTTGAAAAGATAAGGATAATATTAAGTAGCTAGACAATTCAATGTTTTTTATTTTAGAATTAAGTTATAGTTATTAGAGTTTCTTAAAAGAAGATACAAGTTTAAGTGAGATGAGATCATGAGAGATCATTAATTTGGCAGTGTTTTTGTGGTTTTCCCAGGGAAAAGGCCATCTGATGAATGGATTGAGCTATTTAAAGTGAAAGAAACACTGCTGTAGGATTTTTGCCAGGAGAATGCAGAGCGGCACACAGGATTACTGAACTCTGGCCAGATATCCTGTGGTAACCTCCAAACAGACTCAGAATCACATTTGGTTGTTTCATTATGTGTAATGAAACACTGGAGTTCTCAAATTCACTTTCAACATCACACTTGCTGCTGGACAACTGAGTCATCCTGAGTCATTCGACATTTCCTCATTGCACATTGTCTGAGATGGCTATTTCTTTCTTTTTTTCTGGTTAATCAGTCTTTAATAAAGCTGAAAAAAATATATATTTATACAGGCCCTTCCATCCCTTGAAACCCAACAACTCCTGCAAGGTTTCAGTACTCTCTTGGTGATCCTGCTGTTTTATTGTTGGGTTACTAGTATATGCGGTGGAAAAGACTGGAACACCATGGCTACTGGAGTCAAGAGGCTTAAAAGTAGTTTTGACACAGACAGCTTAGGAAGAGTCAGTAAAGACAAGACTTTTTTCCATAATTAAGGTAAGCTGTATACTCAAAAGTATTTTGTACAGCATTTGTTCGAATTCATGGGAAATTGCGAACTATTTTTATATTTGCTGAAAGGTAATATATAAAAGCAAAGGTTTTGAAGTGCCAGACACAGAAGAATTAAAGCTTTTGTTGATGTCTTTCATTTGAGACCCTTGAGACCCTTCAGACAGAAGGGTCTGAAGGGTCCACTACCATGAATTATTTCTGCACAGGAGAGCCTCCAACCGTAATGGTTAAAACTTCACTCATTTGGGGCAATGCAACAGATGAAGTTAGCGCTCTTTTACAATCAGTCAGTCTGGACTTGAACAGACTGTCTTATTACATTTTTGGTAATTAAAATAATCTATTTAAAACAGGTTACCTACATTATCAGGCAAAACTATTAATACCACTTACCTTTTCTTCATAGTGGGAGCATCAAGAAAGGAAGAAACAAAGAAAAGACATATAAACAAAAATAAAATATACTGAAATGATGGTGGTGATTGTAGCAGAAAATGTAAAGAAGTTTAAAGCACTTTTTCAACAAAGTGTTGAGTAAGAGGTGCCATTTATAACTGTAACATTTTCCTAACCACAGATATGATGAATAAAGCAGAAGACAACTAAAAAAAAGATTTATATTTGCTGTTTATAATCAGGATCTTAATTTAAAAAAAGGGTCTTACTGCTGTTTTCCCAGGCTTTTTCATGTAACCGAGCGCAGCTTCCAAGATGGAGACCACATCCAAAGGTGCTACGTATATTTTAAAACAAGCTGTGAGTTTATAGGTCTTAGCGGAGACATTTGTACTTTGTTCTTTATAGACCTCTCAGTTAGTGTGAGGGTTGTGGGTAATTGTTTGTTTATTAGACTATTCTCTCCATGTAGTGAAATACAAACAATGCAACAAATGAACATGTCTGAAAAAGACAAAGTATTAGAAATGAAATCCACTTAATCAAATCTGAACTCTTGAACATTTTTCAAACCTTTCAGTTGTTGCTATGCGTGTTTAGGGTCAATATCTGGCTGAACAGTGAACATCTCCTCCTGTTTGAAGTCTTGGACCTTCTAACAGGCTTTTTGTCTTTATCCAAGATTGCTCTATATTTAGGTCCATTCATCTTCCTATCAAAACTTATCAGCTTCCCTGTCCCTGATAAAAAAAATTATCCCCACAACACAGTGCTGCCACTATGATGTTCTTTTTCAACCACATTAGCATTTTGCATGTAGTTCCATTTTAGTTTCTTCTGACCAAACCCCTATCTTCATGTTCAATGGTCTCCTGTGGCTAATGACAAACTTCTTATAGCTTTCCCCCTGCCCTCCTTCTTCATAGAGGCCACATTTGAGGAGAGCATAGTAAGGATGGATTCTATACCTGAGCTGTGGATCTCTGCAGCTCCTTCAGAGTTAATATGAAACTTTTCTTCTGTGGTTAATGCTCCAACACCTTAGTTTGTATTTGTGCCACTGATTTTGAAATGATGGACTGTTCATTTAGCACAGCTCATCTGTCTGTGTTCTGACTTTGCAGGACTGAATTTAACACTTTGCAAAAAGAGGCATACCCAAGCTGGCTCATCATGAAGCTCAGGGAAGCTGACAAGCAGAAACTGGCTTCATCCAGACAACAAGGCCTCTGAGTTCTAACCTGCACAAGTTTAGTCATGTTGGAAATAAAATATTCTGCTATTTTAATCCTGAGGCAGGGAACAGCTACTGTAACCTCTTTGACAACTATAAAACTTTTGACAAGTAGGCCAAATATTCTTACCACAGTCTTATTTGCCAGTCCTGTATAACAAAAAATAGATTTCTAAAAGAGGCCTATTTGCAAAACATCTCAAAACTTTTGTTTTCATTTAATAATAATGTTGCACTTTAACCAATCATCAAGGTCGTTAGATTGTAACTATACACTCCTGTACCAGATCTAACAGTCATTTCCCCCCTTATGTTATTCACAGACCCTCTCCATAAAATCTGACAGAACTTTAACTTCTAGATCTGCAAACCTGGTAGAGACATAATCACAAAAAGTCTGTAGCTGCGATTGCTCAGGGGGTGTTAAATACAAATAAACTTTTTTTGTTTACTTATTTTATTTTATTTGGATCTCTGGGGGGGCTTTATACTCTTGTGTCATACAATCATGGTTTAAAACACTTTACAATCCTTGTTAGCAAAAATCAAAACCTTTGTGTCAACGTTAGCAAACTGGCAAATATAAGAACTGAAATAAACGGTCTTATTGAAACAGGAATGGAGAAAAACTGATTCTGACTTGCAGAATTGAAAAAGAAACTTTTACTTCTTTGCATGTGGACAACTTGGATGTAATGTACAAGGTGCTATTATACAATAAATATAATTGGACTCCTATTGAGTTTGAAGAGCCCAATAAGTATTTTTAACAACAAAAAAATGTTTTTAAAAGGGAAAAATGAAATTATTGCACATTAGGTAAAGCAATCTGTTCTTTAAAGACGACCTGGCATTTTACAGTCTGGTATTTTAGTCTAAAATACCTATAAACAGCATAAACATCATCTCCAGTCTCTGTGTCTGCGATCACTCCTGTCTCTCTCCCGGTAATCTCTTCTGTCTCTACTGTCCCAGTCGCTCTCTCCGTACCGGCGTCTGTCCCCCCTGGCTCTCGGCTCTCCTCGGTCTCTATCCCCCAGTCCACGCTCCTGCGTGGCCCCGGGACCCAGGTTTATCGGTTTGCGGAAGGGTCTGTCCCTGCCGCCGAAACGCAGCTGTCCGGACTCCTTTTTGCCGCCCAAACCGCCCCCGAGGCGCCGCGGTACCCATCCTCTGAGAGTCCTCTCCTGCTCGAAGTCCACGAACACTTCGTGCTGGTCCACCACCAGCTTGTTGGCGTCCCGGCGGGCCCGACTCACGGACCGCTCCTCCTTGTACTCTATGAAGGCGTATCCTTTGGAGAAACCCGTAACGATGTCCCGAACAAGCCGGAGCCGCCGTATGTCTCCATATTTTGAGAACACTGTCTGCAACTTGGCTTCAGTTGTCTGGGGGTTCAAGCGGGCCACAAACAATGTGAGCAGCGGGTCGCCAACGACGCCCTTGTTGGGCTTATAGCGGGCAGACATGGCCCTCCATACCGCCCGGTCATGGGGCTCCACGTCTGTCCCGTCGATGCTGCCAGCTTTCAGGGGGTTATAGTCTTTCGCTATTGGACACCAGTCAGACATTTCAGCTGTGGTGGTTTTTCAGGCTTCAAATGCAACAGTAGCAGCTACTCAGACTGATATAACTTGGCAACACGGACATTTACCGTTAAAAACAGTTACTTCTGTTCGTTATAGCGCTGAAGTATCGAAGCGCATCAACAAAAATAATCCGTGAGGAAACGAGGTCTTCTACGTCACATTTTATTGGTTCCTACTTGAGGACGTCTCCTCTTCTCCAGGCTTTCCAATGAGACGCGCAATAACAGGATGGATAATTATTGCACAATTAATTATTATCATGAATAACAATATTTTCCCGTAAAAATAGGATGTTTTATTTACTGCACCAATAATAAACTAATTATGTTTACAAATATCCACCCAAACTGCTAGCTTCTTTGGGATTGTTACCTTTGCTGCTTGAATTGTTTTTTTTAATGTTGGTTTGACGATATTATAATTGAATCGTTTAAATAGGCGGTATTACACATTTGCCAGGCACACTGTGCTAAAAAATGGCACTTTCAAGTAACTGTTACCTTCAGTTACAAAAATGTACGTCACATATAACAAGACATTTGACTTATTGAAATTGGGCCTGTCTCTAAAAATTCCAACTCTAACCCCCTACCTTCAGCACGTCATCAAAACAAGGCGTTTACGTTCTGCACTTAGTTTTTTAAATATTTCCCTTATGACAATAAATGACAATTACAAATTCTTTTGAACATATTGCCTACGTCGGACCTCCCAAAATGTCCCACTTTTTGTGATGGCGTTTGCAGAATATTTTTTTCCATTTTAGTAAAATTAAACTCAGTGAGTTGTAGTTAATATATAATTAAAGAATATGATAGGGAGTTCAGTTGCTTTTTATCATAGGGACAGTTGGTCTTGAAAAGATTTATTCCCAGAATAAATGAAAACATCTAAAAACTTTGATCTTCGACTTTCTTTGATGATCTGAAATATGTGACACACAAACCAAATACCTTTTCACAGTTCTGCAAATACCTCGTCTTACTACTGCAACACTTAAAGTGCATCCCACCGCTTTAACATGGCTTGGTTTCAGTATAATTGCATGAATAACAAAGAATTAACTTTGAATTTAGGAATGAAAACACACTACACAAAGCTTTACAAAAACATTATTTAATGAGAACAGTGAAAACTAATGTTTTTACTTTGGCTCTGTTATAACAAAAATCATCAAAATGATTCTACTTTACTACTATTTACACTGTCACGCTGCCTTTGATACATTAATGAACTGGATCAGACAGAGCAAAAACCTTTTCAGCCCATTAGAAAATACATTTCCACATTGCATTCGTTTCATCAGAACAAGGGGATTTAAATTTACATGTCCTCCACGCTCCACTTGTACGCTTCCTCCTGGAGAGCTTTTTTATCAGCTATCCGTGTGTAGCGCTTCTGTTCAAATCCATTGGATCTATAAAACAGCGCAAACAGAAACATTGTCACAACAGTCTTATAAGTTTACTAAATAAACTTTAGTTAATAAAGTAAACCATACTTTCAACACTTTTTTGACAAGAGACTTTAGGTTGAGATCTGCTTAGGGTCAATATCCTGTTTGAAGGTCTAATGATGCCCAAGCACCAGCGAACAAAAATCTCTTTATTGTTACAGTGGAAATTGAAACCTCAGTGGCTGCAGGTCTTTTTTAAGTCACTTGAGGGTTTTTGACCTCCAACCTCCTGGTGTCTCTTCTAATTATCAGGGTCTTTTGTAACTTTTTGCACCTCTTCCCCTTTCCACTTTAGGTCAAGGCATGATTTCTTCTCTCAGGTTTTTGGACTATTCCTTTAATTGAGCTATATTTTCACTATGCAATGAAAAGCTTCCATCAACAGCCCAAAACCATCTGCCCCAGCGAACAAAAACGTAGTTTGAATTTAGATTAAAAAAAAAAAAAAATTGATATTAGTGCTATTCAACTATTGAAGTTGTTTTTGTCTCATTTGCTCATGGCAACCAGGTGAACAACATAGAATTTTGCCAATAAATGTAATTCCTGTTAGTATTAGGGTAGGCTTTGAATACTTTTAGGTGCAACGGTGGAAGAGCTACACAATGATTTTACCATCTGTTCTTCTGTGATTTCATGTAAACCATCTACAAGCCTTACCTGTCGACTCCATCCCACCGATAACCTGGTTGAATGTTAAACCGATTTGGAGGCGGCGGAGGCCCTTGGTAGCGAGGTTTCGCTGCGAATCAAATCACAAAAACAAACCTGTTGACTTGGTATCTCTTTGAAAAACAGCTAAACGCAGAGACTTTATTGAGGTAAATGAAAGTGAGAAACATTCAAACCTGGTGTTGTTGTGTTGCGCTCCTTTTTGCGCCTGAGCATCCCAGCCATTGGATCCCCTTCCCTTTCCTGCTCTCTCAACATTCGGTCAAGATCCTCGTCGTCATAGTGACGTGCCAGCGGCTTCTGGGCTTCATGCAGCGCATCTTCTAGTTTCTGCTGTTGCATCTGTCCCTGGGCCAACCTGCAAACATTTTGATTTAATGAATCATATTACACATTTCGATGTCTTCTCAGATGTTAAATAATTCTTAACAGATTTACCCTCTTCCCCACTGAGCATATTTCTCATCCTTTGCAGCTTTTTCTCCAGCTTTTTTCCTCTGTTCTTCTCTTTCTGAATCCAAATCCCTCTTTTTACCACTCTTGTCTCGGAACACCGTCTGGGCATTCCGGGATTCATCTAGTCAAAGTATGAATCATACAATGAAACACCCTGTATATTTTACAATATTCAGTCAAACAGAAACAAAGTGAAGGAAGAAAAAGACGAAACTAACCTTCTAGTGGCTGATTATTTTTTTCCCGTCGACGGTTTTCTTCCTGTTCTTTTTTTAAGACATCAATAGAAACCAGACCTGCTTTTCCCCCTGAAAGCATCCTTGGGCCCTGTAAAAATAGACAAAAAAAATTTAAATTTCAAAGCAAAACATATTTTGACATTAGTCATAGATATACACATATATATTTTGGCTTACTTGTGAGGGCCCAGATCTTCGAGGTGGCGACAAGTCGTCATCTGAGTCTTTTCCACTCCACGGCCGTCTGGGTGGAGACTGGTCAGAATCGGAGCCCTGTCTTCCTTTTGGACGTCTCCTTGGAGGAGACTGATCTGAGTCCAACGCTTCCCGCTTCACAGGCTTTTTTCGAGGAGGTGACTGGTCAGAATCTGAGTCATGCCGATTCTGAGTTCTTTTAGCGTGAGGTGATCGCCGAACGTCCGGTGATCGTCGATTTGAACTGTGCTTGCTTCTGCTAGGAGAGGAATCTAAAAATAATAATATTTAAATGATCAGTCAACTGTTTTCTGTCAGTCAGCATACACAAACTGTTATTCAAATTAGCTCTTCAAAAGTTTCATCATAACATTACAAATGAAAAGTAAAGATGACTGAAATGAAAATACTTAAGACTTTCTATTGCATCTTTACAGCACCTTACTAAAGTATTCATGGCCCTTTTCACCCTTTTCTTAACATTTTATTGCAATGCAGTCACAAACTTTAATGTATTTAGTGAGATTTGATTTGTTGGAGCCCTACAAACTACTGAAGAAATAATGATAAATGGCTACCTCTTCAGAAAGAGAAATCTGAAGGTGGGGCACCTATTTAGCCCTTAAATAAAATCCAGTGCCACTTCATTACTAATTCCAGTCCACCTGTATGTAATTTTATCTCTGTATAAGTACAACTCTTCTATGAAGGGCATGGAAGGTTGTCAGCGACCCTTGGTGAACAAAAAAAAAAAAAAAAAAAAACCATCACAAAGGCCAAGGAGCACAAGGTCTATGGTATCTCAAGAGGGGCTACTAGTCATCTCACTTTATGAAAGTTTGATTGAATAACAAGTCAAATTTGCAGTTTGCCACATAGAAGTCAAAGCAAAAACAAACAGCACATCATGCTGAACATCCACCATGCTAGTAGTAAATCAAGGTAGTGGTTGTATCAAGCTGTGGGGATAGTTTTCTTTTGCAAGGTGCTGTATGTCAAAAAAGATGGCATAAGTTATACAATATCAGAGATTATATTCGAAACAAAAAAGCAATTTACTTTCCCCACCCACCTTTACTTCGCGCCTTTCTTTGCTTTCCTGAATGCTGCCTTGGAGGTGACACATCTGGAGAGTCGTGCCAAGTTTTCCTGGGAGGGGAAGCATCTGGAGAATCATGGCGGACTTTTCTGGGAGGAGAAGCATCTGGAGAGTCGTGGCGAATTCTCCTGGGAGGAGAAGCATCTGGAGAGTCATGTCTCTTATTTGTGGTAGGAGAACCGTGTTTATTTCCCTTTAGTGAACGTTCTGAGGAGTTAGGCCGTATTTTGCTTGACACAACAGGGTCTGTGTGTTCACTTCCTTTGTCCTCCTCCTCCTCTCTGTCCTCATCAGCTACACAACAGGAGATTTGAAGTAAATATCAATCCAGATTCACACATGAACAAATTCTTCTTATTTGCTTCACTGTTACCTCCAACAACTTTCCATCTGTTGCTGGTCCTAAAGACTTCCAGTTGTTTCACCTCATCTGGTCGCTCATCAATGAATTCAGCAATCTAAGAAAGTACAGAATTCAAAACACAGTAGAATAGTTTTCTTGGAATATTTTTAACGACTATATATGTTTTAATCGTTTTTTCTAAACAAATAAACAACATATTTGTCTTAAGAACAAATATTTATTTGAATATTTGATAAGTAAGTAAAACTCAACAGTAAAAGGAGTGAAGGAATGAATGAATTTCGGCTAGCCTGTAAGCTAACGTTAGCTCGGTGCTTACCACTGGAGCCTCCTCTTCATCTTCTTCAACCTCCGTTTGCTCCTTCACCATCTGTCTCCAGTCAATGTCGTCGTCCACTATTTTAAGTCTTCAAATGGAAGAAAGCAAAATAAGACGAATATCACATCAGCCTACCCGCCAAAGAGTCACCGAGACTCGAAACTAGCTTACGCGCTAGTGTAAATCTAAAACGTGAGCATCGCAGCTGGATTTTTCATTCACTCACCCTCTCTCGGGAACCTTACGTCGCTTCTTTTTTATCTTCCCTTTTGATTTACTAGAATTGTCGTCTGCTGACAAATACCGTTTGAGGTACTCAGCTTTAGAAAGTTCTGCTCCCTTGCTGTTGCTAGTAGAGGCGGCCATAATTAGATGTTTTTGGAAACTACGGATGACAATGAGGATCAAGCTTAAGCTAGCGAACAGAAGACGCGGATCCGCATCAATATGTAAACGGAACGTGGAGGGTGTCCAAATTGGGCGGAGTTTTTGGTTCTTTTTACGAGATCAGAACGAATGATCAGGGCGTGGGGGTATTATTTTTGTAAATTTTGACGGACAAAAACACAACATATACTTTTAATGCCAGGTAACTACATATTTCAACTCGAAAAGATAAAGTGAGCGTATATGCTAAAGATGTTTTGTTTGGTGCTGCATTGGTGATTTATTATATTATACTCTGGGCTGCACATGTATCTAAATCGAACTGGAAGTTTTGCTTTTGCTTTTGGGCATGTAAATATCAATTGACTATTCTCCCTTTATCTGAAAGGCTTATTACTTTCAGATAACACTCGTTTGCAGTTCGAGCCAGCTTATACACCGGCAATACTGAGAGGAGCAGACATCGCCATTCGGAGTCTTTAGCATGGACTGCTATTTGTGAAAATGCATTTCATATCATGTGGCCTCTTTTTTATTGGTGTATTATTATTATTATTATTATTATTATTATTATTATTATTATTATTATTATTATTATTATTATTATTATTATTATTATTATTATTATTAGTAGCCCATCACTTAGACACATTTTTAAAATATTAATGGAAACATGTAGAGAGCTGGTGTGAAGATTGCCGTATTGAAAAAATTTTTGGTGTTTATAAAAAGGTTAGGTTTTTTATAAGCATTTTTTATTTATATATTTTATAAAATACACCTAAAAACAGATTTTTTCCCAGAATTGATTTCCATTTATAATAGTCTTATTATTTTATAAGAGAAACCTGCATTTCCAGCTAGAAATAAACTCCTAGGTTCAATGCAAATAATTCTACATCTAGATCTACTAGGAGTATAAATTACTTTAAACCTAAAATGATTGTTTTTTTTTTGTTGTTGTTATTTTTGTTTTTTGCATAGGGCCCAATTGGTTTGTCTCAATTGGACCCATATACAGCTTCTATGCACCACAAATCTGGAACAAACGTCCTGAAAACTACAATGATACTGAAACATAGTTAATGTAAATCAAAGTTAAAAACCTACCTGTTTAGAGTTTATTTTGATTCATAATAACTTGAACACCTATCAGCATATTTGGTGTATATTTGTTCATGACTTTGATGATGGCATTTGACAAAATGTAATGCTTATTGCTTGTTTCATAGTTGGTTACTGTATGATGTTCTCATGGTGTAAAGAACTTTACACCATGACTTTACTTGGCTTGATATGACTCGGTCTAATCTGGGTTTCAAATGTCAAATGAGTGAATCACTTCAAAATAGTTAACACATTTAGTATTTCATATGAGTTCCAACATTTTACCCAGAGTAATCCTGCTTCAAATCTGCAAAAAGAAACACTAATCTGCAGACAATCCCATTTTGCTGTGACTTTGGGCAGCAAATATAAATGTTGGCTGATTGATGGGTGATTGGACCTTTAATGAAATTCTGCTGGCGAACCTCATACTTTGAACTGACTATGCATTTTTATGCATTTCAGGGGTTTTTTATGAGCACCCAGTAACCAGAAAATCATTGTTTGACTATATATTTAGCATTCTTTTATTGAAAACCAGAGCTCCATCACTATATATTCACATATGCAAGTTTTTGCAGTGCATTACAATACACAAAAGATTTGTGCAGTTCTGAAGGCAAAAGGTCTCAGAGCGTCTTGAGTCATCTTCCTCGATGAAAGCATTCTAATGCCATAACAGCGATAAAACCTAAAGCTGTTGTGTTGATGGATCTGTATGTAGACAGAAGCAGGGCTGGGTTTGTTTGTGTGTAGATAGGCACAAGCTAGGGTGTCACATTTTATTCAGCAGTGTGTATGAAAGAGGAAGATCAGCAGGGGGACGATCCAGGACCACGAGCTCTTCAGAAACAGGCTGACAGCTGAGCAAGGCTGCAGTTGTTCTGCAGGAGAACGGAAAAGTGTCAGTGTTGCTTTCAAAGCACTGAACCACACATTCGTAAATCGCTAATCCACCCACCTTTCTCCACGTTGATACTCTCAACCTGCCCAGATATTTTACACATGTAGGTGGTGTTGTGTGGGAGTGTGTTTGTGAAGCCTTTCAGGGTCATCCTATAGCCGTGGGGATCAAGCTCCACCACTTCGCTTTTGTCTCTGAACTGGGCCTCTGCAGCCGAGCCGGAAACATTCGTGTTGATCAGGGCCTCCTTGGTTCTAGATGACCAGGAGAACTCGTAGCTGTTGATTTTGTTGGGCTTGGGCTCGATCCGGCAGTCAACTCTCAGGTCCTCATCCTCTTCCAAGCACACAGAGATTAGCTGAGGTTGCACTGGGATCAGCAGCACTGGGTAAAATGCAAACAACAATGTGGCATTGGAGAAAATGGTTGAAGCAGCTTAAGTCTCATTTGTAATGACCACAAACACCACAGCCATTTTGTACACATTTAGCTGTCATTAGTGGATGTCCTAGTTTGACTCTTACCGTTAGCCATAGCAACATCTCATCACATGGTAAAACAGATAGAGCTTGTATCTGTTTTTATGACCCTGAAGTGTTATAATCAAAAGCTGTTTGTTTGAATGCGCATCAGTAAATAATCTGGACAAATGCGGAAAAGCTTTTTGAAATAATCCATGATGAGTTAATAGCGATTAATACCGAAAGTGAGGCTGTTTTTTTTTTAATTCAACAGGATAATTACATAAATTAAATGCTTGAATATACAGCAAATTCTCCGCTGTAGAAATAGTCCATATTAGAAATGTTGCTTTATTATTTTGTTTTATTTACTCGACTAAATCAGTAAGAAATAGAAATGGTGATAACTAATAAATCACATCCTTCAAGATGATATTTCAGTAATATACCCAGTTGCTTCATTCCTTCTTTAATATGCGATAAAGCAGCTTCTCCTATTGGGAACAATCTCCTCCCTCAGATTTTTATTTTTTTATTAGATACTTCTGATATTTCAAAATAGTTTGACTTAGCTTCCCAGTGCCACACCTTGGAAGACTTTAGAACTGTACTCTCACCTCCAAGTATCCCACTTAGAAACAGAGATGTGAGCATGTTGAGGAATCACCCATCCAACTGTGGGAAAAATGACAAATGGGTTAATTAGACGGAGGAAGAGATAGGACTTAAACCTTAATACTGATGCATGCAAGTTGTTTTCTTCGGCTCGCTGCCAATAACAGCTGAAAATACTAAAATAGATCCTAATTTAGGTTTTTTGTCACAACAAACAGCTCATAGAGGTTGGAAAGTTCTGGTCAGAACCAACATGGATGTGTCCAGTGTGAAGAGCCTGACCCATCTGCGGTCCAAAGAGATGACGTAGCATAAGTTAGAGCAGCATTCTCAACATTAAAGCCATTTTTATATGTCTTAAGGTTTTTTTTTTGTTATATTAGGTTGAATAAATTGGCCTCTCACTTCTATCCATCATGTCTTTATACCTACATGTTCCTGTATATTCCATCTCATCCTCAGTATTTCACATTTACTCTCTAATATACAATTAATTAAAATCCCTGAGGGACTCTTACCTCCTGTCAAAGCTGAATGATGCAGCAGTTCCTTTCTGCTCCGTTAGTAAAAGCTAAGCGGCTGCTGTCACTTTGGTGTGCAGCACTGCAGAGCATCCCACCACTGAGAAGCAGTGGGAACAGCACAGAGAGGTGGAGGGAGGCAGTGGAAGGGAGGGACGATCCTGGACCAGAAAGAGCGCTGATTCGTCTTTTTCTTCTGCAGTGGCTGACAGAAGCAATGAGCTGGCTGTCTGTGTGTGCTGAGAGGCAAAACTCGGGCATGGTCATCGCTTTTTTCCAGCAAGGAGTTGTCTGACCTTGCCTCTTTCCCTCTTTCGAGTCCTCCCCTGTGTCTCATGTTCTGAGTCATGCTGACCTGATTTGCCTTTCATGTCTCTGTCCAGTAAATGTCTCTCAAGAAGAGGAAGTGCTTTGTGCACCAAGCAGTCTCCTTATGATTTGCAAACACAAGAAAATGATTTCTAATGAGAACATGTGCATTGATTAGCATTTTGTTATGTTGCAAACACAATCCCAATAAAACACCGTGTTTTATTGGTATAGGGATGCTTTTCTTGATAAGTACAAGAAAGCTTGTCAGAAGATCACAGTAGAGCTATATGTTAGAATCACTTAGCTGAAGTCTACACCTACACCTAATTACCAGATTTAAAGATTTATGATTTTAGAAACTCTCCAACCAACCTGGTGGGTGTCTGAGGTTCACCCTCCAGCAGAGAGCGACGCTGTTAATATAGCCAGAGGTTCAGGGTGACTGAATGCATGTGCACTCCACACTTTTCAGTATTCAATCTGTAAGATGTTTTGAAAGCCATCAGCTAAAGCAGGTTTTTAGCACAAGAACAGGAGTACTATATGCCTGCCAAGTAAAACTAAATACAAGGTGAAACTAAACAGTTAAACTCCTGCTTTAAGCAATTCTTCAGTCTATGCAGCATATAACGCATTCTTTCCTTTTAGAATGCGTTTTTGGCTTTGTCCCTGAGATAGTCTGCCCAAATAAAAACCCATTGTCATGTTTTCACAGCATCTCTGAATTCCATGACTCATTTGTGCCCCTTCAGAAATTTCCATCACTGTGCTACTAAAAAAAGCTCACTGTCTCCATCTGGAGGTTAGTGATGGTAGGTGTACAAAATGTAAGATAAATGTAAACGTATTTGCAAAACAATTTAAATGTTAGGTTAGGTTAAAATAAGGTATAACTGAAAAAATACATGTACGGAAGATTTCTGCTAAATAAATGCCTTTAATATGAAGTTATTATTTTTTTTAGATAATTTTCTATTTAATTTGAAAGTAATATTTATTTTTCTCCATTCCCTCCATGACCAAAAGACACTGTTTAGTTTACACTTAAACAAGCAGGATATAATATGAGTGATTTGTTTTGTGTAGAACCCAAACAATTTTGGTTTTCGTCCATCAACAAATTGTGTATTTTGAGAAAACAACAGTAAATGTGAATCCTCCTCAGGTAGTGTAGACATAAGTGTTCATTTTGGAGGGTAAATGTCAAGGTGATTAATTAGCACTTGATTAACAATAGCTTAATATACTGTTAATCAGTACTCCACCAATAAAAAAGTAGAGTAAAAATGTATGGTCCATGCATTGTCTCCGCCATCCACCAGGGGGTGCTGTACCATTCTCCACACTTTTAGATCTCATTGTTTTATTTTGAATCCGCCCAGGTTGATTAGTAGCATTGAGCATTGATTAAAAATCCAACTGTAATTGTATTTTCATTAATAGGACACACAATTGCAAAAGTAAATACATAAACAGAAACGATGTATTATGAGATAATGTTTTATTACAGATTAATTTTTGCTAAACATCTAATTGAAGCTCAGGTGAAGGGGGCCCCTTCATTGACAGCCTTACAATCCGTAGCTCCGTCCCTGTCTGGAGTGTTAATTGCGTCCTCGGATCACAGCTCTGAATTTCTCTACACAGGCGCCCTGCGCTGCCCGGGTTGCTCGGCTCAGCCCTCATAGGCTGTTTGTCGGTCGGGGCTGGGGGTAGTCTATCTCGGAAATAATCTGCCCACGCGTGTAAGCGGCTTTATCCCCGCCGAGCCTCAGACCGCTGCAGCTCCGGCTCCACACTCAGCGCCAGAAAGAAAAAGTGACACAGGTCACACTGACCAGTTGGAGGTTGCGCACGGCTTGTGCCACACATGAACGGACTCTGGTGCTGAAGCTGAGTCTATTTCTTCACTTTAAAAAACAAACAAACAATTATTATTCCAAGAGCTAAGAGGAGTTACAGAAACTTACTCTAGGGATTTAAACACAGAGAGAAACTGGCAACGGTGTTCAGGACATGGAACAGGCTGGACTTTGGATATTCTTTGTGACTACTTGTGTTATTTCAGGTAAGATTGATTAAAAAAAAAAAAAAAAAAAAAAAGAAACAAAAAAGAAGCTCCAAATAAAATTTCTGTAAAGTATTCGCTTCTCAACTTATCTGAGGTTTCATGTATTCACACATTAAATACTTTGTGTGGTAATATTTAAATCATTTTTATTCACTAATTAAGATTTATTGGACCCCTCTGTTTTAATTCATTCAAAATGTTAATTTTAATTCCTGTGACAACATAGTAGTGACACCTTGTTTTTTTCTCATGGTCTCCTCTTAATATGGAAAACTCAAATCATAGGCACTATTATAAACATTTTTAAATACATATGTTCAAGTGTAAATGCAATTTAGCTATTTAATTTTGTAAATGAAATGGACGCCTAAGTGGCAACAATGTATACTACTATACTCCATACTGCAGTCCAAAATTAGGGTTCTGTTTGTGTATTTTTCTTAAGGAAAAGTACAAGTAATAAAAGAGTAAAACTTAAATAAGGTGATAAAGAAATATGAGTAATTCATCCTCATTATAAAAATGTAGACTTAATATTAAATAAATATATAATGATATAACACAGATCAAGCATAACATTAAACCACTGACAAGTGAAGTGGATATCTTTCTGTCCTTTGGTGGGATAGCTTCAGGCAGCATTCGTTCTCAAAGATGATGTGTTGGAAGCAGGAAAAACTGGCCAAGTAAAAATGGTTTGACTGAGGTTGAGAACTTCTGAATACTAGACCACGAGGTGGAAGCATTTTCGAAATTGCAGATGCTGTGGTTTGTTCCCAGTCTGCAGTGGTTTGTTCCCAGTCTGCAGTGGTTTGTTCCCAGTCTGCAGTGGTTTGTTCCCAGTCTGCAGGGGTAAGTATCTATGAACTGGCAACATGATCATTACCAGCCAAGGCACATTGGTGCAGGTGTGAGGATGGTGGCATAAGGAAAGAGAAATATTTGATTATTTGGACATTTCTATATTTTGTGTTATGTCAACATTGTTTTATGTTCCTTTTAGGTTTCATTTTGTTCAGTTTATGCCAGTCATTCCTTGTTTTATTCTGCAGTATGGGTTTTTTTTTGTGTCAGTTTTCCTTCCTGCCTTTTTGTCTCACTTCTGGCTTTGTTGCCAGCACACCTGTGTGGATTTACAGTCCCGGTTTCCTCTATGTGTATTTGTCAGATCCACATGTTATTTATCTCTGCTTCATAATGATTTCCTGGTTTCTGTTACAGCTTGCCTTTGCCTCCCTTTGTTCAGGGTTTTGTTAGTGCATTCTTCACATTGAATCTAATTCTGTATCAAACAGAGGCTTCCTGTTTCTTTAATGTTGTCTTCATATACTTATCCTTTCCCCTGTACCATGATAACATGGATCATTTGGGATTGAGCAAAAATACCACAATATTGCTCTGTTTAATATTACTATTAAATAGCTACAGTAGTGCATTTTTGTTCACTGGTAGCAAAATTAAAAAGTGTAAAAAGTGGTGAATTAACCATTTTTGAGGGAGAAAATCAGCTTTAAAATACAATTGGGTTTACTCAAAACAGCCTTATTCCTTTTTTGAGATCACCAGAGGCATATGGTGGTAAAGTTTATTTGTTGCAGGGTAGATTTCATCTGACTTAAATAGCAACTTACAACAACAAAAAAAGCAAAAACAAATATAAAACTGACCTTAGGATATACCTAAAATGAGTTT